TTACAGAAAAACCCAGGCTAGACTTGCACAGTCCTGTCAGTGAAACACCTCAAAGAAAGGTTCCCAGTGTCTGAAGTGCTCAGAAAAACAACCTAGGGAGATGCTCAAATGAATTATAAGCCCTTTAGAGAACCTAAGCAGCAAAACCTTCCTGTACATCTTCATCTATCTTTCAATGACAAACACAGATATGTATTTTAAAGATATGATGATGCATGACTGACTTGTTATTCTTTACTTCTCCCCTCACCCCAGTACTGTCAACATTTGCAATGATAGCGAGTCCGTCCAATTTTAAGAAACAAAGCAAAATGTCCAAAATGCCCAATCCTTTTGGCGCTTAACCCAATAACTCTCACTCAATAGTTTGGTCCCGGTGAATTCAGAGGAGCTTTGTCGTTCATTGGACTAGAAGTGAGGTCTAGCCTACATCTTCCTCACACGCTCATGGGGTCCATTTCAATTTATGGCAGATAGTTTTGAGTCATTTCTTGGGGTAAACGGTGCTGTGAAATGTAGCAGCTACTCCTTGTATTTGGTGTTTACAACTTTCCCGATACTTTTGCAAGGAAAAAATGATGTGCTAATTCTCTCAACAAAAGCCTTGAGATTTTTTGAGGGAGTAACATAAATTACCGTCATTTTAAAGTGGGGAAAATTGGTCTTAGGCCCTTTAGGGCTAACACTTAGGTAACCAGTTTATGTGTTTGAGAGGTTTTGAAGAGGTGCAAGATGACACTAGAGTCCGGACACCCCAGATGAAGGTAACCAGAGTCAGTGTCCACATGGCTGATTACGCCGCCAATTACGTGGTTTATCCATGACCACCGAAGCAGAGATGTGCTCATCTTGAGCAACCTGGGAGCCACTTCCAGCAGGAATCTTTCTGGAGATGTGAGCTGCCTGTAGCACTGTACGCATCGCTGGGAAAAGACTGCCTCTGTGCCCTGGATGCCTGGATGGCCAGAAGGCTTAGACGTGAGCAGCAGACAGGATTGAGCTTGTGTTTGACACCAGGGATGAAGTGCAGCCTGGAAGAGCTCCACAGAGCTCCTTTATTTTACCGCTGCTGCGTACGATTGATGGGTGGACCAGCATAAAACTGCTGCACCAGAAGGATCTACAGGGGAAATGACATAGGCCAGGGATTGCTATCTCGTCTCAGGGACTAGATGAGGTGCACCTACGAAAAGCCACCACAGAGAACCCACGTCTCAGCCACGCTCTCTGCCCACAGGCTCAGTGCCGTGCTCCCTCTTAAACAGCTTCTGCAGGGGGATGGGGAACGAGCCCAAAGCCTATTTAATTAGGCTTTGTGTGGGAAGGACGAGCTCCATCCCCAGTGAAATGGAGGATTACACGTCTCCTCCAGATGGCGAAGAGAAAGTAAGCAGGTGTGAGCACGGGGCCTACCTGTATTGGTTTTAATCAGCAACTTTAAGCAAACTCAGTGTTCTCATCAGAAAAGGGGAAAAATAAACAGCTGAGCACTGTGATTCATTTACACTTCAAATATGCTTTGAGTTGGTTATTCCTCAATTAATCAAATAGCTGGTGTATCCCTAAAGTAGTGTAAAGTGACACGCTGTGTGAAATCAATTTTCCCTTCCAAAATCATTAAATTCAGTAGCCTGTGACTACATCCCTGCTAATTCTAGTACCGGTCCTTTCATCCTCCATTAACTTTGGCACGCCTAACAGGCTGTCAAAAATAATTTCCCAGAACGTAAATAATTCAGAAATTAAAAATTAATAAATAATAACAGAGAGCTACTGGGAGATAGACTGGGTCAATTAGTCAGCTCTGCATTCTGTTTCTTCGCAGCAGGGGGGCAGCCACATTCGTTACTGGAATCTTTCCTCCGATTCCTAGGTCTGATTTACGGCTCTTCATTACTGGATCCAGTCAGACACAATTACCTCCATCACTATCTCAGTTCCTAACTTCAAAGAAACACACATTTTCTTGTCTGCTTTTTTTCTCCTTGCAGCAGCCTCAGCTTGACGTCCCTGGAATTTCTTCCACGCGGACTAATTAATAAGACTTTGACTTATCATATTCACTTCTCTTCTTTGATGTCCTACCTTAGTCAATCATCCTATTTAATTAGAATTTCAATGATAACTTTACTTATCTCGTGGCTAGATGTAAATTAAAATAACGGGATTTTAATTCTCTTTCTTACGGGGTTATGACATTTCTGACAGAAAAAGTTTCAACCCAAATACGATGTTATGTACTTCCTATGCTAGGAGTGCATTCCACTAAATTGTTTTTCCCTTTGCTACAAAATAATTTTGCTTGTTTAACAAGCTCCACTGAAATGGAAATGAACTACAGTCTCTTGTAATGTAATTTGCACAGGTCCGTGTTGTGAAAGGTTACATTGATGTAAATGAATATAATCAGATTGTGACACGTGCCACGTAGTTAACAAGGAAAAGGAACGTGATTTTTAGGGAAACAAAAAGGCTCTAGAGAGACAATGGATGCGGGACCACTTCCTCTTTGTGCCCTTCCAGTCAGTTCCTTGTATGTTTGCAAGGTTTCTTGCTCTCTTTTCCCATTTAAGGACCTAATCCTGCTGTTTGTATCTGAGCAGCACACGAGGTTGGATTTCGATTTAAGTGAGGCATTTCTGAAAGACATACCTACTGCTGTTCATAGACATGTACCGTGGCTGAGGCTTCACAGGAGCAGTACCTCCCTCAGCCACCACTATTTTTCTCTCTCTTTGGTACCCAGTATGTGCTTGCACACTGGCTTGCTTTCCTTCCCGTATCTTTTAGAAGTTGCCGGTCTAGGTCAGTACGACATAGACTGGACACAGGCGGGACAGAAATGAATAAAAGTGAAAACAATCACTCATTTTTTAGTTGAAGCTTATGTGCCTGCACACCCCCTAGGACTGCAGAGGCTACTGCAGTGTAAGGATCCACAGGGAGAGGCTGGTGGAGCAGCCGAGTCCTTGGGGGGCTTGGGAGATCCCTGGAAGTGAGGCAGGAGGGCTGGGAAAGTGCAGGACGAGGCTTTCCAGGGGTCCAGCCAGGCTCATCAAGCCTTACCCATTTTGGCACTAGTGCTTTTACTAGAATGGACTTTTCCAGGAGTGTGAGGGAATGGCTGTGTACATCAGTAGGGATTTTCAGAAGAAAGACAGGTAAGGAGAGGACTGTGTGAAAAAGAAAGTAAGAATGGTTGACAGATCAAGAAATGGTCTTAAATCATGAACGAAGCAATCTTCTGGTACTAGAAACAGAACATGGTGACAACTGGCTGGCCCATGCAAAATGCCACACATGGCTCATCTGCCACCAGAGGTGGTTATCTTTCTAGTCATCTATGGCTAGAAAAAAAAGAGCTTTACAGTTTTGTGCTGACTATAAGCAAATACACCCTGGAAACCAACCTCAAGTCTTAAGGCAAAAGACCACGTCCTCAGGCCCTATGCTTCCACTGATATCCTAGCAGGGAAAAAATGCTCTTTATTGGCTGCCACTGATGCTTTTCCAAGCTGGCAGGTTGTGCATTTGCTACTCCATCCCCTTTGTTGTATTCATGGAAAGAAGGAAGTGCAGGAAGGCTCAGTGAGATGTGTTGGACATGGAAAAAACCTACTCCCCAAAGAAACGGTTCAGTCCTATGGAGAGGTAGGAATAGCAGAGAACATGAGACTCACTTGTCTACCACTAATCCATTCAAAACGGGCTTAGCGAGCTCTTGCTTCAAATATTATCCCTACATCAGACCACACTAAACCAGTTGTCATAAAGCTAACATTTCTAGACGTTCTCGCAAGCCACTTGCCTGACAGCTCTGTTCTTACAAAATAAAGTGAGAATGTTTGAAAAACTAGGCCAGAGCATCAGCTGCAGTGAGCCACTGGATTTAACTGGCAGCTCCTACGATTCATACCAGTCGAGTTTAGGGCCCAAACTGGGTAAGCTCAAAAAATACCGATATTGTTGTTTGGAAATAAAATAGTAACCTGTTGTGCTTGCAACAGCTAAACTAAACTGTTCCGTCATAATTTAATAGTGTTGTTCTTTTAACAATTGGATTCTGTTACACTTTTATATTTAGGCACGATTATTTAATCTCATTTAATTGGCTTTCTTATTCCCCTCAGGGTCTGGGGCCTAGAAAGTTCATATTAAATACTCTAATTGCTCTGAAATTTTCTTGTTGCCTGAAATACGCTCCTATTTTAAGTATACCCTGAAATCTAGTTCACAGATATTTTCCCCTCTTTCATGAATTAGAAAAAGCCCGATGTCCGTAATTTGCACTTGAAAAGAGTCAATAATTAACCAAAATAATAATTACAGATGGAAAACAAGGAGGACGCCGCACAATGAACTGCCAGTCACAAATCCGTAAATAAGGCCAGGAGTGCACATCAAAGGTTTCCAAGTGCACGCTGCTGCCTGGAAGCAGAGCCGAGGCAGCTATCGGGGTGTCCATAGCCCACATATTTTATGTGTGGGTCCCTGATGGGGCACGAGCCTGTGGGGTGCACCTGGAGGAGACCCCGATAGCTGCCTGGTTTGCTTGGCTGGCACAGCGGTGGTGCCTGTAGGTCTCTGAATGGGAAAGTGGCTGTGTGTGAGTGCTGGGTGTGGGCACTGCAGTGCGTCAGACACCACTTTGGGGCAAAAAGAGGGAAAAATGCGAGTCCTGCTCTGTGGTGCCCAGGGCTGGTGGGGGGTGGTATGGGTTGTACTGGGAGCAGGGCCCTATACTGTGCGAGGTTTGTGTGTGAGCACTGCTCCCAAAGCCGTGTTACAGAGGAAAGATGCAGATGCTTTGGGAAAACAACATTTAATAAATAAATTGATAAATGGATGAGTAGATAGATAGATGGGTGGATGGATGGACGGATGGATCCTGCTCGCCCTACAACATGGCGGCGCCCTCTCCGTACAACATGGCGGCGCCCAGCTAGCCAGCCCCCTCCACGTCCGTACAACATGGCGGCCTGGAGGAGAGCACTTCCGGTGCGAAACAGCGCCCCTATTTCAACCCCGCGGCTTCCGCTTCCGCCTCCTCTTCCGGCTCGGGCGGCGCCAGGTATGGCGGCGGGGGCTGCGCGGCCTCCCTCCCTCCGCCGCCGCCATCCGCCGCCATCCGAGGCGCGGCGGCACCCGGGGAGGTTCTGGGGGTCGGGGACGGGGTCTGGGGGTCGGAGGCGGTGCCCGGGGGTCGGAGGCGGTGCCCGGGGGCCGGTGCCGGTGCCTGGGGGTCGGTGGCGCAGCGCTCGCCGGGCCCTCGGGGGGGGAGGCCTCAGGCCTGGGCCTTGCAGGGGGAGGCCTCGTCTCAGCCTCAGCCCTCGTCACGTCGGTTTGAGGCAGAACTCTCAAACCTCATCTGTTCTTCCTTAATTAGGGTGTGAAAAATGGTGCAGCGCCTGACCTACCGCCGTAGGTTGTCCTACAACACAGCTTCCAACAAGACCAGGCTGTAAGTAAGACCTCGCTGCTAAGGGAATTCTCCTTAAAGGAAAAAAAAATTCTTAAATCTTGATCCTTGCCTTAACAGACTGCTTTTTCTGCTGCGTTTAGGTCCCGAACGCCCGGGAACAGGATTGTTTACCTGTACACCAAGAAAGTAGGGAAGGCACCAAAGTCAGCGTGCGGTGTATGCCCAGGAAGGCTTCGCGGTGTAAGTCTTGGGGTTTCCAGCATAACATCTTGACAGCTTTTACTGCTTTAAATGCAAACGACTTTATCAAGGAAGATGTCTGTTTCTTGATGGATTCAAAACATCCTTTAAAATATGGTCATCTGAATGTTGTAAAGCGTAGCTGGTAAAACAAGCTTTGAGAGCTTAAGGAACGAGTGCTTTCTTTTTTAATGCTTGTGATTCTCACTGGTATTATTTAAACTTGTTTTATAAGTTAACTTGTAATTGACTGAAATTTTTCAAGCCAGCCCTAGATCAATCTGTAACAGGTTTAAAAATCAGAATTGGACCTATTAGATAAAATTCCAAAAACATAAGTCAAGTTGACTATAATTTTTGGAAAAAATGAGTGACTTTTTCCTAACAGGCTGTTATCTTCCAAAATGTATTCCTGGTTTAATGTTGTTCTCACCAGCGATCAGAGTGCTCAAGTCTTACTGTCAGTCAGTTTCTACGCTTGGGAAGATGATCCTTGTTAATAAGCAGATTTTAATTATGAGTATATTGGGAAACCTGTCTGGTGGAATGAGAAAGCTCAGTTCTGGAGCGCTGAGGATGGCTCGTATAACACCCTGCTGTGGCTTCGGTCACTTTTTGCATGTAGAATAGTTAACTGGAGGTGTTGCTGCTCTTTAAAAACAAACCTATACAAGTGAATTTTCTCAGTGCGGCTGTTACCCAAAACTGGGGCCTCCTATCTTATGATACGCTTCTGATTTTTGCTTTCTGCAGGTCCGTGCTGTGCGCCCTAAAGTTCTCATGCGGCTGTCAAAAACGAAGAAGCACGTCAGCAGAGCCTATGGCGGTTCCATGTGTGCTAAGTGTGTCCGCGACAGGTGAGCTCCCAGCGGGGTAACTTTGTTCTTGAGGTGACTTCATCTGAGTCCTGCATCTTACCGTGTCTTCCTAGTGTAAGCCGAAGTGCTAGAAACTCTTTTCTGATCTCAGTGTAGAAAAATGGAGAGGGTAAACATGGGACATACTAGCAGTGAGGTGTGAAATCTCCCCCAGGATTTGAGCTGGTTAATTAATGTGTTTGGAACTCCTCTGTGGATAGTTTGTTCTGTGTGATTTCGAACTGTACTGGTGTGTAGGTGCTAAACGTCCTGTTCCTTCTGCAGTTTTGTGCTCTTCCCTCAAGAGTAAAGGTTTTTCTCTTTTGCTTCCTGTTTTGGCTTGTGCAAAGATAGTAGTGAAAAATCAGCTTTGGACTTCTGTGTGTTTTGGGATTTAGTGGTACTAATTGTTAGCATATTAAGCATCTAATATGTAATTAAGCTTAAAGGATGACCTTTAGTAGCTCTCCTTGAGTTTTATTGTGTAACAGCTGCACATCTGTATAATTCCTTGACAAGTCTGAGCACTAACTTGTATTATAAAGAATGTGGCATCTTTGTGAACGGTCATCAACGCAGATCTGCAGAGTCAGCAGTCCAGTGCCAGTTTTTCATCTGTAGTGCACATCTTTCCAGCATCTTGGTTTGTTTTTTTTTGGCTCTATGATCCAAGCTAAATCACATCAAGTGGCACTGAAGACTGATTGTTACAGCTGCAAATCTTGAGCAATACTCTGTGTTAAAAGACATTTTTTCCTCGGTGTTTTCCCAAATATTCTGAGCTTGATAGGTCTTTTTTTTTTTTTGTACACGAGTGTATGTTACTGCCTAAAAACAAACAAAAATAGAATCACCTCCTTCCCTGTAATCGGCAGGTCTCTCTCCTGTGTCTGAGCATTGTTGGTGGGCTTTGTGTGCTGTAGAAACAGCCATAAATGTCATGCATATGGGGCAGCATTGTCCTGTTTTGAGACAGGAGAGCGTTTATGATATATGTGTGTGGTATAACTCGCTCATCAAACAGGCTGCTGATGCGTGAGTACTGTCATGTGTATCTGTCTGTGTAGTGGCCCCTTATCTGTTCAAGAAGTAATTGTATTTAGATATGATTTGACCTGCCAGAGTTTTTTCTTTTTTTGTTGATGTACAAAGCAACAATCCTGAGAGGGCAGCTCTCGTTCTGATAACTGAACCCATGTAAATTTTTCTGTAGTTGCAAGAAAGAATTGGTGTGAGCAGCTGGTCAGTTCCCTTACTTTAAGAACTGTAAAATTAGTTTGCCAGTGAGGAGTTTTTACTTTAACTTAAAATCGCTTACTTTCCTACTGCTTAGCCATTGGGTTGATACTTTTATCTGCCTACAAGCCCCTAACCCTAAATTTCCAAGCACATGAAGCCTTCTCCCCAAACCTCTACATTTATTGGTGCCCTCATGTTGTGATGCTGGCAGGAACACAGACGGCTCCTTTATGTGAAGTGGAGTACCACGAAGTGCTGCAGGCAGCAAATCTAACTGCAACTTCCTTGTTCTTGTATACTTGCTTAATTGGACAGCTGTCCTCACGGTGGTGTTCTTCCTTTCCAGGATCAAGCGAGCTTTCCTCATCGAGGAGCAGAAGATCGTGGTGAAAGTGTTGAAGGCACAAGCACAGAGCCAAAAGTCCAAGTGAATCGATTTGTATTTTCTGCCCAATAAATGAGAGTTCCACTTTCCTGGTGTCCTGCCAGTCAGTCCACGTGCTCGCGGAGGCTAGCGGGAGTTTCTCACAGCTTGCGAAGTGCAGAATGGGCTTCTCAGAGCAGGTGCTGCACCAGCCACACCGCACACAGCCCCCTCTGGATTGGGGAGGGAGCTCCAGGAGCCGTTCCCTTTCCCTGCGAGGCGCCTCCTGGGTCAGCAGCTGCTGGCACGGTGCGAGCAGGGCTGCAGGGGTGGCATAATTCTGGCTCCAAGAGCTGGGCGATCCAGGCTGCGGTTTTGCGAGTTGCACGGAGCTATTTTGGGTCTGTTGCTGATCACCGATGTGCCAGGAGCCCCGTGGGAGGTGGGAGTTTGGGTTCCCTGCTTCGTGCTACAGGCGGCTGTAGCTACCTGGGCACAACCCGAGCCTGTAGGCTCAGCCTCCTTGGCTCCATCCTGGGCGTTTTACCCTCGAAGAGCCGCGTTTAGGTTCCTTAACGCCTCTTTATTCCCGCAACGCCCCCGGTGGGCGCAGGGGAGCGGCGCGGAGGGGAGGGCGCTAATTAATGAGCACCCCCCCCCCGGCTCATTCATTCATTCATTCATTCATTCATCGCTCTCCCGCGCGCTGGCCCCGCCCACCTGGCAGGGGGCGTGGCCTCCCATTCACAACCACCCACCGTGGGGGCGTGGCCTCCCGTAGCCCCGCCCCCTCGCTCCCCCCCTCCGTTTCCCAGCACCGACACGTCGCCGCTGGCGGGTCCTGGCAGGGGCGTAAAACGCGCGGCTACCCCCCGGGGGAGCGCTGTGCTTCCGACTGGAGAAAAAAAATCCTCATTATTTTCAATTATTTCTCATAAACTTTGGGGTGATTTCGGTTTAATCTTCAAAGCGATTTTTTTTTAAATTCTCGTCTCTTTATCTTTCCCCTGCCAGGACTCCGCCGCCGCCAGCCTTTTCCGCGGCGCCGCGCTGGGCGCCGCCATTTTGGGAGCCGGCGGCATGGAGGCGCTGTTCCGGCTGCCCTTCGCCGTGCTCGAGTGCCCCAACATCAAGCTCAAGCGGCCGGGATGGGTGCACATGCCCTCGGCCATGACGGTGTACGCGCTCGTGGTGGTCTCCTACTTCCTCATCACCGGAGGTGCGGCTCCTAACCCCCCTAAAATCCCCCCAAACCCTCCTAAACCCCCCTAAACCTCCCCAAAACACCCTAAAATCCCCCCTAAAACCTCCTAAAGCCCCCCAAACCTCCCCAAAACACCCTAAAATCCCCCCTAAAGCCCCCCTAAACCTCCCTAAACCTCCCCAAAACACCCTAAAATCCCCCCTAAAACCTCCTAAAGCCCCCCAAACCTCCCCAAAACACCCTAAAATCCCCCCTAAAGCCCCCCTAAACCTCCCTAAACCTCCCCAAAACACCCTAAAATCCCCCTAAACCTCCCCAAGACACCCTAAAATCCCCCTAACCCTCCCCAAAACACCCTAAAATCCCCCTAAACCTCCCCAAAAAACCCTAAAATCCTCCTAAACCTCCCAAAAAAACCTAAATCCCCCTAAACCTCCACAAAACACCCTAAAATCCCCCCAAACCCTCCTAAAACCCTCCTAAACCCCCCTAAACCTCCCCAAAACACCTTAAAATCCCCCCTAAAGGCCCCCCAAAACCCCCCTAAACCTCCCCAAAACACCCTAACCCCCCCTAAAACGTCCTAAAACACCCTAAAATCACCCCTAAATAAAGCCCCCCTAAACCTCCCCAAAACACCCTAAAATCCCCCCTAAAACCTCCTAAAGCCCCCCAAACCTCCCCAAAACACCCTAAATTCCCCCTAAAGCCCCCAAAACCCCCCCCAACCCCCCCTCCTGGCAGCTCTGGGTGCCTCGCCGCCGTTCCCGTGGCGTTTTGCCCATTCTTCCCCGGTTTTTGGCCATCTGACCCCATTTCCGTTACTCGTTTCCCCCACAGGGATCATCTACGACGTGATCGTGGAGCCGCCCAGCGTGGGGTCGATGACGGATGAGCACGGGCACCAGCGGCCGGTGGCCTTCCTGGCCTACAGGTAGGGCAGGGGCAGGGGTCTGTGCCCCTCCTGGGGACTGCAGGACCCACCCCAAGCCTGCCCTGGGTCTACAAATTAAAAATTAAAAGCACCTGGAATCAAGGGGGGCAGATAACCAAGCCCTTGGGGCTGGATGCTTTGGGATGAAGCGAGCTTTGAGCTGGCGGTGCTTTGCTTTGTTGCAGCCCCTGTGCTGTTAAAGTTGAGCTTGGTGATGGGTGCGGGCGTATTTGGCTGCGTTTTGTAGGATATTTCATGGCAACGTAAGTAGTGTTGGGGGAAATTCAAGGTCTGGCGTTTCAGCTTCTAGTATAATGGGACTCGTGTAGCTGAGGGTTACAAATACACAATGGTGCCTTCTCTGGGTCTGTTTGTATCTGCTACTGAAGATGAGCTGCAGACTGCTCAGTCAAGAATTGCTCTAAGTACTAAATCTATAGTTGTAACTTCTTGATTTGGTTTTGTGTCTGTATGTTTAAACACGGGAACGTGGATTTTTTCTTATAAAATACCAAAAACGTTCTGTAAGCCCTCAGAAGGTACATACCAATGTATATATAATTTTATACACACCTCACTGATAAACTTGGACTTGGACTGGACGTGGTTCGTGACTCAGGCAGGGTGTGGCTGCTGCAGGGTGCGTGGAGCACTGCTGCGGGGAGCTGGGTGGCAATTAGGTGCAATTCAGTGAAAGCAGCGTGAAAGAAGATGGAATTGGCTCTTTTCTGAGCTCTGTGAGAGCTCACGGTCTGTGTACAGGACCAGTGAGTGAGGAGTGAACCATGCTGCAGGCAAGAAACACTCCTGCTGTGTGCTGGAAGCTGCAGAGGTGCTTCATGAGGTGACGCAGTGCTTGGAGGGGGATTTGTACCAGGATTATAATTTGGGCACTGCTGCATCAGCGTCAGGGTGGAAATAAGATTCAGAAAACCCAGTGGCCCCAGGGTCACAGTTCCACATCTTGAGTCATCTGTGACAACTGGTGCTACGTTTGGGGTAGATCTGTCTGAAAACTGATGGGTTTGTGTAGTATCCATGAATATACCCTGCTGCATATAAAACCACTGCTATGCTCGTCTGGTCACCTTGCAGGCTGTCAGTCCAGGAGATAATTTGCAATTTAAAGCTTTAATGTAATGGCATAACATAAGTTCCTAGCATAAAGTAAATTTGGAAGGTCAGCCATCAAAGTTAATCATTTTGTGTATTTGTGCAGCTAAAGAAGGTTGAGTAGCTGAATTTTGCAATGTAAATAGTTTTCTTTGAATAACCTCTAACTCTTTTCTTCCTCCCTTTCTTCCCCCACCCCCTTGTTTGTTGGTCCTGTAGAGTAAATGGACAATATATTATGGAAGGGCTTGCATCTAGCTTCCTCTTCACGATGGGTGGTTTAGGATTCATCATTCTGGATCGATCCAATGCGCCAAATATCCCCAAGCTGAACAGGTTTCTCCTGCTCTTCATCGGATTTGTCAGCGTGCTTTTGAGCTTCTTCATGGCCAGAGTTTTCATGAGGATGAAATTACCGTAAGTGACCTAAAACTCTTTCTGCTTTTCTTCCTTTTTATGGTTTGTGTGTGCCTGTATTAAATTTAAGAGTAACAGAAAATAAAACCAGGTATGCTGAACGTCTGCAGCTTGGCTATGAGTTACTTTTCTTCAGTGCTTTTGTGGAACAAGCTATATTGAATGAGGTGGGGAAGTTTTTGGAGCTGACTGCTCTAAGATTGTGCTGTGGTTCAGAACGATGACAGATCTGTTAAGTCAGACGATACGATTAGTGATTCTGAGTCGTAATACGTTTTAAGGTAGGCTGATTATGTGCTGGATAGGTGAAAGTAATTTCAAGGCAGGGCTTTGGAGAAAAAGGATGTATCAAGGAACTTCCAGGAAGACAAATGAGTCATTTATACCAGCAATATATGGCAAAGGTCATAACTAGAAGAGCCGATGTCAGGAGTTATGGGCGTTTAGAAACATCCAAAGGTGTCCTAAAGTAAAGATGATGTGTCTTTTATTTTGTCGTTGCTGGAAGACTCAACATAACACTGAAGCATACAACGTGTGGGATGTTTCAATACACCTAACTCACAAAGTAGGAAAAATAACACAGCTTTGAGGCTGTGTTATAACAAAACACGGGATTTTCAATTTGTGTTTCTTCTTTCTTGCTCCGTCTGTTTCATTTAGATCAGCTGAAGCCAGCAGTTTGGAGGTACTGAGAGTTAATTTCTGGAGTAGTTCTTTGAGGTGTTGACTTAGTTATGTCAGTCATTGCTCCTTTCTCAAATGTTTGTTTAACCTTTGCAGTGCAGTAGAAATGTTGTTTCATAATGCACCAGGGATTCCCTGGCAGTAGGCAGCCGGGTAGGGACTTATTCTGTGTTTTCTTGTTTCATTCATGTATGTCTTAACGGTTCTCTTTCTTAAATTCTTTAAAGACAAAAGGCTTCAGGGAAGTTTCTGTAAGTCTCTTCCTTTTTGAGGAGGTGCTGCCTGTTTGCTAACTTTTTTTCCTGATTTAATTTTATTCTGCAGGGGCTACTTGATGGGTTAGTACTTCTCGCAACGTGTGAAAGCCCAAGCTGAATTTACTCCTCTTCATGAAGTGTTTAAGAAGCAGCAAGAAACAAATTCCATTGTCACTATCAACAGGAAAGAGACCTAAATGTGAGAAGCAAGTGAGGAAGGCGTGTTCTCTCTGCAAACAAACTTTTAATACCAATGGCTGATTTATAGTTTTAAAACAGTGTTTTATCATTGCTGTTCTAGAGCTTTTGAAAAGAGAAAGTTACCTATATATTTTTTTAATCTGACTTGGTGTGAAATAGAGAACCTGTCTGTAGCTGTACCCTGAAATGAGAATTAGCCATTGGTTTGACAGTTCCTTATTGCAAGGTCTGTCCCCTCTTCCCTGTGCAGGAGGGTTACATGTGTCAATTGGAGAAGAAACACCTGAAACATTTCTTTCCAAGTTATCATTAGAAAGCAAATAAGTTTGGATACTTTACAGTCCGAATTAATGTGTCTGAAATGCTTTCAGAGACACCTTTTGCCTTCTTTCTAATGGCTCTATATGAGCAAATCCATATGTGCACCGGGAGAGGCAAACTTGTATGAATGTGCATTTGTTTTTGAAAAAATGTACGAACAGAGCCAAATAAAACTTATTTTCTACAAATCTGAATTTCATGCATTTTCTGAAGCTTTTTCTTGAGTATGCATGGCCTACTCTGCATCCATGGTTTGAGATGCCAATGACACATTTCTCCTTAGTTTTTCACTGTTGGGTAATGATTTCTTTTAATACCAGGGACAAGAGACCTCATATTTTCTGTGAACTTGTACTGTATCTAAATGATATGCTATTATCAGTAATCAAGTGAGCTGTTGCTTCTTTGTTTGAGAGACATGGCTCCGACTTTTTTTTGGTCGTCATTTAAAAGATGGAATATTACCATTGTACTTCATTAAAATGTATTGTGTTCTGAAGGTGGAAAAGATCCTTCTAAATCTCCATAAATGTCTTGTCTGCAAGCCACATGCGTTTGAAGCACTATTTTTGTCTGTATAATAATTGTCAGTGAGATGTTTCTTTTATTCCATTAATTGTAAGTATTACTGTTCATATACTAATCAAAGAGCTAGTTGTTAATCATCTGTCTCCAGGATATGTCACTTCCAGTCCCTCATTCTTACATTCAATGTGACTTCTGTGTTTATTCATTTTACATCTTTAAATTTTAAGGTATATTAAGCTGTTCTGTTAGGCTCATAACTGCGCTATTTCCTGTCTTTTCGAAGTGGTTATTATGTGGTCGTATGTGCCATACCATATGTGATGGGGGTCCCAGTACCAGGTAAAGAAAGGCTGGTGTTTTCTGAGTGCCTGCTGTTCTCTACAGCCAACAGCAGGTGGCATCTCCTGCGCCAAAGACAGAAAGAAAAGTTCAGTGATACCCATCTGCGTTTGGTGCTCTCAGCCAGAGTGAACTGAACTCGTCTGGGGGGTGGGAAATGAAAAATAAAGCTGAAGCACTGTGATAAAGGTAAAGCAGAGCTTGTAGGAACGTATCTCTCCATGATTGAAAACAGAAGTTTGGCTTATGTCCAAATGTAACAGAAAAGTCAGACTGAGGTCTTGATTTTCTGTCTCTCCTGCTGGAGAAAATACTGAATCCACGGCTCTTCCAGAAGGTTCAGAGTAATCTTGGAGTGCTGACGCCTGGTCAATACAGTTAAGAAGAATATATATAACCTGTGTAGCTTTTGAAAGTTAACATGTGAACCCTAAATAATTTAAGTGATCTTATACTTAATTGAGTTAAGCCAAAAAATTCATCTAAATAAAAAAAGCCAGACGATTTGGCTTCCTTTTTTTTCCCCCAGTACATTTTCCAGACTCCTGCAGATCGTGTAACAGTAGCATGTTTGGAAGACCTGTGCCACTGAAATGATTTTTGTCAGCAGGGTGACATTTCATCTGTTTAGAGGAGATGCTGATAACTACCTCTGCTGCTAAAGCTGTGTGGCTTTTGGATAAGTCCAGATATGATTTTTAAAGAAATGTATAATTGCTAATTAAAACCTAAAATACTTTTATAGGTCAAGTTTAGTTACCAGTGTGAAGTAGCACACAGTGATGTCTGAAAGAAAACTGACATCTTTATTAGACTGAGGTGGAATATTTTAATTTGCAGCATTCTAATTCTGAACCTGTTGTGTTTAATGGGACCTGCCTTAGGCAGCTGAAGGTGCCTCAGTTAACTCCTTACAAAGCTGGATGCTCGTTTAGAAAATAGTGCTCAGTAAGGTTACTATAATACACCCATGCCTAGTTCCAGTTGCATATTTTATATACATATTTTCTTAATATACTAATTAGGAAGCACCAGGTATTACAGAATCACAGAATTTCTAGGTTGGAAGAGACCTCAAGATCATCGAGTCCAACCTCTGAAATTAGGTTACTAAAAAGTTACAGTCTTAGCAACTGAGATGATTGTAAATTGCTGCTGCTGCTCCCAGTAAAGGCAGTAAATGTGGGTGTAAGGAAGACAGCAAATCTCAGTTTTCTGACATGCTTGGAAATGCTGCATACAATAGAAACTTTTTTTTTCCTGCAGCATTGCAATGGCTGTGAAAAGGTGACTTGATATCACCCATTTGTGAATATGGTTGTATTTTGCCTTTGGTGTGACAGTTCCTTCATCAAAAGAGTTGCTGCGATACCTCTGGCCTCCTATTACAATTCCTAGTTGCTGCTGCTCAATTTTACAGTTGCTCCAGTATGTTTTTCTTCCAGAACATGCTTAAAGAGGGTTGAAACCATTGCAAGAACTGAAGGGGAAGAGTTGTAAGAAACTCAGAAGAAGGCCATTTGATAACCCTTTACAGTCACACTGAGGCATGTCAGCTATACAGACTGAAGAGTCAAAATCTGCATTTCAGTGACAGGAAAATGCACGACTCATGCATCGAACTCTTCTTCAAGGGTGGCGTTTCGTGAGAAGCAGCTACTAGAATCATGAGAGTTTCTGCATGATTTGCTTTCTCCAGTGACAACTGATTGTGCTGTGTTTTTGTGTTGTGGTTTGACATGGATACCCGTCTGCTGAGGGCTGTGCTGAGAGCATAAGCTCGTTTTAGAGCAACAGCTGTGGCACTGTAACGGGAGGCAAGCACGCCTGACTTGCGCCGTGTTTTAACTGGTGGCATGGATGCGAGGCGCTGCATCCTGATAGCTGCTCTCTTGAACCTATAAAGCAGCTTGCCGAGCTCCAGTGTAACGATATCAGCTTAATTCCTGATGTTCTTTGGGTGTAAGATGAAGTTTCACTTCATCACGTCGCTATCCCATGTGGGTTCTGTGAATGTCAAAGCTCTCAGGCTGTTACACCTGCAGGCTGCAAGAGATAGTATTTAGCTGTGAGGAAATCGGGTTAATTTGGTATTGTCTGCTGACTCATGCATGCAAAAAGACCAACTTTTGTAATTTCCTCCTCTTTTTGTATCAGTTTTCATTACAAAGCTCAGTGTTGAGGTGGGGACTGGGATCCCTTTGTTGGTGGTGGCGATTGTATGTGCTTAGCTGCAAATTGGGAAAGAAAAATTTTGCAAAGATTCAGGCTGGCTGGCATATTCTAGGGTAAAACTTGAAAGTTAAACTTATTTCTATGTTATTTAGTAAACAGATTGAAACAATTTCATAACTTTTAACTGTTCCTGACAGCTCCTGGATGATAGCTAATATCTTCTCTGTAGTCATCATCTGTCTTTACATGTGGAGGGTGTGAGGGATGCAGCATAATAAACCAGTAAACCTCACTTCAGTCTGAAGAAAAAGCTTTGGGGGGTGAGGGGTGTATCTCAAGCACCTGGAAGAAAATGGCAAGAAGATCAGTAGCCAACTTGGATTTTTAGAGAATAAGTCATATGAAGAATAAGCCATACATGAGAGTTATGGGCACTGTGGAGAGAAGAAAAGCAGATGTTTTTGGGGCTGTAGCTTTTGATGCTGTCTTGCATGTTACGGAAACTTGGCCTAGCTGAAACAACTGTAAGCTGGATGCAGAAAACATTTTCAGAGTGTTCACTGATCAGTTGATATCCTGTTGTCAGAGTGGAAAGAGATATTATTTTTATTTTTTTGAGGTCTGTCCTTTGGCTAGTTGCATTCAACACCCAGTGACCTGAACGGAATAGGGAGTACTTACTAAATCTGCCCAAATCATAAAACTTAGAGACTGCTGAAGGGCTGAGTAAGGGTGTGCAGTGATCCTGACAAATCAGAAAGAGCTCCCTAAAAAAAATAATAATAATAATAATAAAAAAATCTAGGCTGGTTTATTCTTTCTGGGAACAAGTGCAAGGTAGCACCAGCAGAATAAGTGACAAAATGCAGATTCCTCAGCGTGGGTCCTGGGGTTCTCCTGGAGCACGAGCTGAACAGGAGCTTTTGGGGAGCCATAGCACATCCTGCTGAGAAACACTCAGAAGTTTTAACTACAAACTACACAAGGCATGAAAGTTAGTGTAGAAAGGAAAGGAGTCATTGGTTCTGCTTGTCAGTAGTAGTTAGGGCTTAAATAACAGCAAGGAGGAGTTGGGTTACTATTAGGAAAATATTGAGTGTAAAACAGTTGACTCCTTGACTAGATTGGCTAGGGTGGTGTTGGTATTTCTGCCATGTGAAGCTTGAGAACAGGCTGGACAAATGCCTGCTAAAATTTGCAGATAAGGCTGACCATGCCTTGGGGTGAATGATTTTTCCGAGGTGTCTTCCAGAAGCTGCCCATTTGTATTATTCCCTAGGTGAGAGCAAAACCTCTGACCTTCCAAACGCTGACACTGTCTTTAAAAACAATTACGGAAAGGTCTTTGGAGATGACTAAATCTGTCCTTTGAGTACATCCCTGCAGGGCATTCATAAGACAGAATCCCACTGGTCTCTCAGTCAGAAAAAAAAGCGAGTGGCTTTGTGACCGAGACATGGTAGCAGCAAGCAGTTTCATTAACTGCCTGCTGCCAGGCCAGAATTCAATGAATCAGTTGTTGGTGCAAGGAAAATAAAAATGTATGGACAATTGTTTAATGCCTTTTCCTTTCCTGGTGGATGGCCATGTTAGTGTGCCACCAAAATGATGCTGCTCTTACACTAAATGGCTCTCGGGGTAGCTACCCTACTAGAGCAGGACGGGGGGTGTCTGATATTTCTAGGAGGTGTTTTGTTGCTTCTCAGTGCATCTGTCTGCTCTGAGCTGGAGCCCAGAAACTTGTCAATTGCACCGTTTTCTCCAGATCCCTCCTTTCAGGAGCCTTGCTTCATTGATGGGTAGAGTTTATCCTATTTTACATTTTACCCCAGTGTATCTGTCCAGAACCACTGTGTTTCATCCCCTTTTGCTGGTCTACTCCTGGCCTGAGCTCTTATTTCTGGGGATTTATGCTATTGTGCTTCAGTAGCTGCTGTTTTTTTTTTTTTTTTTTCCTCTGTCTTTCTATTCTTCCAAGTTTCAGGACACCACTGCTGGTTTTGATTGTTCTCTTTCTAACTGCTGCAGTATTGCTGCCTTTGAGGGATATTATTTATCAGTCTCCTCTGCTCTTCCATTTCCTCATTCCTCCTCATCTAGTACTTTCTCTTTTATCACACTGAAATCCATCACTTACTTCCACCAACTGCTTGGCTGTCCATCGGCTGTGCTACTCCGGGCTTTCCTTCTTCTGTTCCTTCTACTCTGACTGCAGGTCCTCTAATTTTCCCTGCCGACCACTGTCTGAGCTCCTTCACCCTGCAGTGACTCCACACTTCATTAGCCCCTGCTATCCGTGGCAAGGCTCAGCCCCCTGCCTTCTCTCATCCTTTCAGCCTCTCTCATCCTCTGGTTGTTCCTTTGGCCGTTCCAGTTTTCTTTTAGCTGTCTCATGCCTTTTTCTTTATAGTCCTACACTCCACACCATCTGTTGTGCTGCTGCGAGCATGACTCACCCTGAAAACAATAAAAATCCTACTACATCCCCAAGCACTACACTAGGGAG